ATTCCACATTATTCCAAATAACTTAATTTCTGGACATTTATGGTTTGATTTCTTTGTATGTATGGATCACTTGGGTTGTTACCAACATCTGGTGAAACTTTCATGTCATTAGCACCTCTAGTAATATATTTACTGAGAAAAATGTTGACGTGTTCAATACTTATTTTACCCGCTGCATATAGTGAAACAGTTTGAGAGATTTATTTCAGAAACTTCACTCACTAACTGTCACAACACCTCTGAACTAACAGGTGATCAACAAGCAGATCATCATTTGTCCATTTCTTTCTTTTATTTATCTAGTTTATTTCTGACTCAGGTGGAGGACTTCATGTATCTGTGACTTGTTCATGAGTGACGATGCGATGGAGCGGGAGATGGATTGATGGATTGGGGCCTCATCCTCAGTAACGAGGGCGTTGCTCCGGTTGGTTGTGGTGGAGAACAAGCTGAGTTTAAAGGCAAAGCTCTCGATTTACTGGTCTACGTTCCAACCCTCACCCATGAGGCGTGGATCAAGTATGAAATCCTCGGATAATAAGCTTTCCAGTAGGGTGGCCGGGCTCAGCCTTTGAAAAGAGTCAGTTAAGGTGGTCCATCTGATTAGGACGCCTCCTTTTACAGGTGTTTAGGACACGTCCCACTGGTAGGAAGAGCTGAGGAAGACCTGGAACTCCCTGGGAACACCTCGGGGTCCCCCAGGACAAGCTGGAAAGTGTCCTATCTGGACCCTTTGCCTCCATGACCCAACTACAGATAACCAGGAGATTTTTTTACATTAAAAAAGTGAACATTTTGTTGCAAAGAGATAAGGTCAAGAGTGCCTCTACAAACGCTCTGAGGAGCTCTGTAAATACTGGCTGCCCAGTTTGAAGTGGATCTGGACCGAGGTGCAGGCTAGGATGAATATTTGACCTGGTCTGGACTAAAGGTCAGGGCTGTGTGGCGGTTTTGAGGAGGTCAGTTGGTGGAGGGACGGACTCGGGCAGAGAATCTGTGAGCCGGAACTCAATAGAAAGCCTGCACGGAATAAAACGTTCCAATAAATGAGCTTTGTGAAACTTTTATGATAGTTCACAATAGCTAATCCTTGCATTTTTGCTTCATCTTCTGAATTCCTTCAACACTCTTTAAAAATTCAATTAAAAAACACCAAAAACTAACTTTTGAGTCTGAATAATTTCAGTGTAAAGTCAGACACCAGCTCTCTGTGAGCCTTTCTCTGCACTTAGGCATTCCTGCATTTCAAACTTATTAATATTAGATTTACAATATTTTAAAATTCTAACAGAGGCCTTTTAACAGAAACCATAAAATCCATCAGTTTGAGTCGCTTTAAAAACTTGTAGTTGTCATTTATCATTATATTTATCTTATTAACAGGGAAAACTAGATCAGTAAAAGCCTCTCGTCTGTATTAAAAGTGAAATAATCTGTATCCTAATGATGCTCTTTGTTTTAGCATCAATAATAATTCAAATAACACATTCACCTTCCAAATGAAAGTTTTATTCACTTTCATAAAAAAAAAAAAAACATCAGTTTCTTTAAATCATTAGAAAAGTGCTTGAACAGAAAACTACACACATGATCAGCAGAAACAAAAGTACCCACATTGCCCAGCAATATATAGTTTTTGTGTGTTTTTTCATTCAAAATGTAACAAAAACTACAGTCTGACGCTATAAACTACAATAAAAGTGATGTTCAATGTGCTGTTGCGTCCCTTACATTTATTATCTTGACTTAGAGCTTTGACATTAAATCAGAGATTTGAAGTTACCTAAAAAAAAACACTCTCATGTTGTACAAAAACAGATTTTTTTGTAGCAGATTAGAGTTCAGACCTGCTGATTTAGAGAAATAAAAAAACCCTCAAAGGTTACAAATATTGCTTGAAAAAATTTCCAATCAAACATTTAGAACAACGTTGGAATCACAGAGGAACATGTAAAAGTCTTTTGTTTTAGACTGAAGTTAATCCAGTTTGGAAAGCGTTGGATTGTAGTGGTTTGGCAGTAATCTGTGTAGCGCCTTCTTTCCCTCAGAGCTCGTCTCCTCACATGACGGGGAAGCTGGCCAGGTTGGCGATGCCACACAGGTTGCCCCGGTTACGCGCCATCAGGACGTAGCCGCTTTTGCCCCAGCTCTCGCCCCAGCTGTCGGGGGAAAAGGATAAGTTGAACACCGCCGGCAGTCGAACAGCCTTTTGGTTTGTCACCAAACTCAAACCCACAGACATCAAATTAAAACGCGGGACCACCACATGTCGTAAACGGCGAGGAGCCTCACCTGTTCTTGATGATCCAGTACTTCTTTCCCTTTGGGCTCACGCCGTAGCCGACAGCCAGGACGGCGTGATTGATGTCTTCTTTGTTACAGTTTTTGTCGTAATAAATGCCTGGGCAGAACAAACACAAAGCAACGTTTAAGGTTAGATTTCTCAACTGCTACCACCACATCTGTAAAACGTTTGTGTTTTTAGTGTCAGTTGGTTGTTGCAACCATCTTTTAAGATCATTTGGTTAAAAATTGTTTGAAATACGCAAAGTGGGCGGAGTTCACACGTTTTGGTGGGAAACGCTGAGATTGCAATGTCAATTTATCAGCCGGTCCGGATGTTATCAGTCCATTAAATGGACATTATTAGCCGTTATCAGTCCCATAGAATGGCTTCAGACTGTCCCGACAGTGCCCCCTAGTGGGTTACCAGTGCCATATATGTTGGAATGCAACAATATGCCACCGCCGGAGTCCAGTCTACTTTATTGTAACCCATGTCATTTTCTCTAAAATTAATCTTAGTGGTTTTATGCCTCATTTTAACCAGCTGACAGTCTGAAGCCATTCTATGGGACTGATAACGGCTAATAACGTCCATTTAATGGATGATAACATCCGAAGCGGGTGAATTAACCCAATAAATTTACATCGTTATACAGACCTGATGTATATCAATGTGTGAGTTTTGAGCTCGTTGAATTTTCATCAGCTGACCTGTGACCTACAGGAGCCAGGCTCCACAAATACTCATAACTACCAAACAGTCTATTGGGTCGACTCCAGAAGTTAAACAGTTATAAATGTACATCCAGTAAACGTTTTCTGAAAGTTGCATTGAAAGTTGCCAACTATCAGCTGACTACATCAGTACACAGGGTGAAGCTGTGGAATGGTTTAAGCATGGAAATCAATTAATGTCCAAACATAAAGAAGATGGTAATCAATATGAGAAAGAATTATAGTTTTTTCTGCTATTGTCAATGTTATTTTTTTGTTTAATGACGCTATTACTGTAAATTGATTTTACTGTATATTGATTTAGAAAAAAATGTCAACGTTAAAAATGATGGATTCCTGCTCTTAATGGCATGTAAATATGTTTTTTGACAAGTTATAGATATGAATATAGAAAATACTAAATAAGAAATAATGTTATTTGATATGGATGTAAGAGGGGTGGGTGTAAAAAACAAGTTTACACTTCTGCCCACTTCTTTAAAAGTGTAAATATAATTCACTATTGTTCTTCTTTTGCTTGCTTTTTGTTTTAAATTTATTTTCTTTTGTACATAACTTTAATTTTTTGTTTCATTATGTTTAATAAAGTCAAATTCAGCTGGTTTGCGAGATATTTTTATAACAGACATGTTCTTCCTGTTTTTGCATATTATGAAATGAAAACAACAGCTTTAACCGCTGACTGCTCGAGGCAACATGAAACAGCAGGTTGTTGGCTGACCTTTACTGTAGTAGAGGAAGGTGCTCTGTGTGGCGTCGATGCCCACCGACACCGGGCCCACTTTGAAGAGAGCCACAGCCAGAGCGTGCTCGTCGCCTTCCGGCACCACCTTGTAGCCTTTGCACTGAGCCGCCATGCCCGACGAGTTGTAGCGGCACGGCTCATCCTGCAGACAAGACAGACAACAAACAAGAGCTTTTACACCTATCTGTGTCAGGCAGGTGATAAATTTAGAAATTTTTCACGTCATGTTAACGAGAAGCTAAGGAGACTTTTTATGTGTCACCCAAAAAACTGTTAACGAAGGAGCTAATTATATATAAAAATAATACTAATATAAGCTGTGCTTAGTGCTTTTTCTCTGCATCTTATGATCTAACTTCCACTTTGTTGCACATGACTGATCACATGACTGATCACACCACTAGAGTTTGAACAAAGAGGAAGATTTTAATCATTAATGATCAAATTTACTTCCCTAAGTGACTCATGATGAAGCAGCTCGCTCAAACAGTTTCTACCTCGACGCTTCTGCTGAATCACGTCCACAAGGTCAAACATTCGCTGACTTATGGTTAAAAATGAAGAGTGTGTTCTTTCCTTTTTATGCTTCTGGTTGAGGCAGGAATGGGACAAAACAGACATCGTGACTGAAGAACAAGGAACTGCTCGCCTCAGTTTCAGTCTGATGCTAAATGGAACATTTTGTCTTCTTGTGAGGATCATTTAAAACAGATAAAGTCTAAAGTTTACCATTTAAAGTTATCATGGTTTGATTTTGTACAGGTTCAATCTGCTGATTTAGACTGTTTTTACTAAGGAACCACAATGAGGCGCCGTTAGGCAGTTTTTGTGGGAACATAAGAACTCTAGGAAAAATCTGAACATTTTTAATTTAGGCGCATAAACAAAGGATTTATCGACATTATTGAGATACAAAATTTAATTGCAAAGATCAGTCCAATTTATAAATCTGGAAACAAAAATGATTTTACCAATTACCGCACAATTTCTATTATTCCAACTTTATCTAAGATACTCTAGAGTGTTGTTCATAGTAATTGAATACTTTCATAAACAACTAATTGTCTCATATTCTCATTTAGGTTTCATAAAAAGGCCTATATTGGACCTTATAGAAAAAATTAATGATGCAGTTAATCCGGGAGATTATAGCCTGGCCCTTGCCTTCCTACGCAGCTCCGCTCAATTCTAGTTTCCCTTCTCTGCTCCATCTGGGACTTCTCCCTTTGAAATGGATTTCGCTGGCAGATTTTTAGCCGGGCCTATCAGAGAACAGAACGTCAATTTTCTGTGCAGTGTCTGCTTGTAGTTTATTTTTCCTGGGCCAATCAGCAAACAGAAGGCGGAGTTTTGAATGACGTCGATGTTCTGCGCAGTCTGCTAGTTGGTTTAGCATATGGCAGTGGAGGAAGTGAATGGAGCCAGTCCGTGTTGATAAGGCTTCCAAATTAAATTAAATTTGTCTGACAAAGCAGCAGCTCTCATTTACAGTCGTCTCGTTCGGCTCCGTACTTTTCTCCTCTCAGTAGGGTTGTTTACAGCACACTCGATTTCCGGTTAGCTTCTTAGCTTAGCCTCCGTCACAGCGACAACACATACATGCTTCAGCAGAGGCCACGCCTCCTGCATGAAACGATTGTCTATGCATCAAGTCCAGACCCTAGTACGAAGCAAAGTGAAGGACAGGGTCTGGTTTTAACCAGGCTAGGGAGATTGTTGGTACTGAACCTTTCTAAGGCTTTCGATACAATTTATTTTAATATATTACTGGGTAGGTTGCATCATTATGGTTTAAAAGTTACCTTTTTGGTAGTGTCCTGACGCATCTCAGTAATCCAGGTAAAAAATCAAAAAGAAAAAAATGTATAGGTCTTCTGGACGGGTTCTTCTCTAATGAAACGTTTCATCTCTCCTCCAAGAGACTTCTTCAGTCTGAGAGTTTCAGGCGAAAATGAAGACCCCAAACCAAACCAGTGGTTATTTCGTATGTTGCGGGTGTTTCGGAGAAACTGAGACGTTTATTTTCTAAACATGATGTCCCAGTGGCTTTCAAACCCCAAAACACATTACGGCAAAGGCTGGTTCACCCCAAAGATCCGGTGCCCCGGCACAAACAGAGCAATGTTGTATATGCTGTTAAGTGCCAGGAGGACTGCGACCAGTTATACATCGGGGAAACAAAGCAGCCACTGTTCAAAAGAATGTCCCAACACAGACGAGCTACATCTAATGGCCAGAACTCTGCAGTTTTCACTCATTTACAGGGCAGTGGTCACTCTTTCAGAGATGAGGATGTTCTCATTCTTGATAGAGAGGAACGTTGGTTTGAGAGAGGAGTAAAAGAAGCCATTTTTGTGAAGAAAGACCGTCCATCATTAAACAGAGGTGGAGGCCTCTGTTTTCAGTTGTCCCCCTCCTACAGCGCGGCCATTGCCAGTATCACTCCACCCCCTGTTAACAATABGTGTTAARTAGGTGTSAACGATAGCCATGTGATGTGAYTATCAGTCACKTGGAYGCAGMGCTTAAAAGCCTGAATTTTGCCTGAAACTCTCAGACTGAAGAAGTCTCTTGGAGGAGAGACGAAACGTTTCATTAGAGAAGAACCAGTCCAGAAGACCTACATAATTTTTTTCTTTTTGACCTTTTTGGTAGACAGCAATACGTAATATTAATAAACATAAATCTCAGATTGGGGACATCAAACATGGGGTCCCCCCAGGGTTCAATCATTACTTTTTATAATTGATATTAATGACTTTGTAAACTCTTCTAAAATATTTATTATGGTTATTTTTTGCTGATGATTCAAACCAGTTTTTTTTCCACATAATTTATTGTAACTGGAGGAAATAGTAAATGTGGATTTACCGAAAATAAAACTGGTTCAAGTGTAACAAGCTATCTCCTAATATCAGAAAAAACTATTTTCACTCTATCTGTACCATTCATTAATCACATAAATCTCAGATTTGAAAATCAGGTATTATTGAGAGTAAGTTCCACAAAGTTCATGCGGGGTCCTCATAGATGAGTCCTTAAATTTCAGTATCTTCAAACAAAGTTGTCCAAGTATTTTGGCCTGTTTTTTAAAGTAAGGTATCTGTTTATATCCAAGGTTATAATAGTTTTGGATTTTTCATTATAGTTTAGTTTTATTTCGTTTTGACTTTTTTTTCTTTTAATTCAGTCAGTTTTAATTAGTTTTTACGGCTTTGCTAGTTTTTATTAGTTATTATTGCATTCTTAATGCTTAGTTTCAGTTTAGTTTTTATTAGTTCTAGTATTAGTTTTTTTATATAGTTTGAACAAACATATTTGCCAGTGCAACCTCAAGCTTGTGATGTTCCAGGGAGTTAACTAACCAGCAGCTATTTGGTCACTAGTTAAAGCGTCCATTATAGCAAAACCTTCCAAAAATAATTACGTAACTCAATTTTGCCAACTAAAACCTTGGGTGATTATTTTAGGACAATGAGAATAATTGTCTCCAACCCGATGCTACCTGCTCCTTGTTTTTCACAGGAGCTACTGAGAGAAGCGTGTCAAAATAGTCATAGTCAGCCATCTTGTGTGAGCTTGATTCATGCAGTTTTCCACCTGTTTTATCACCTGTTTCCACCACAAAACACTAACACTAAGGGTATTCAATCTATAATTTCAGGTAGTTTTAGTTAGTTTTGTAAAAAGGTCATACAGTTTTAGTTAGTTATCCCCTTTTTCATTTTATTACAGTTTTTATTTATTTTAGTTAACTAAAATGTTTTTTCAATTTCAGTTTTCTAATGCTGCGTTCACACTGAACGCGATTTCAGCTTCAAAATCGCAGCCAACGCTGAAGTTGGTCGCTTGTGCACTTTGAGGTCAGACGCAGGTCAGCTGTTGAAGCGCTCGTACGGCAAGAGCCTCCCCGCCCCTCCCTCCTCTGTCGGGCTCTGTTTAATGTCGGACGAGGAAGTGGCTTTGCTTTATTTACAGAGAGCATGTCACGTTCATCAGATAATTAATTCATAATTATTTCACCAGATAATTCAGAGACATTCTGAGTTTCATCACCCAGGAGCTGCGGGAGAGGCTCACAGCTCGCTTTCAGGACTATTTTTGTCCTGAGTCCAGTCTGATGAGCCGCTGCCACGCATTGGTGTGGATATCTCCTGCCAGGACACCGACTGCAGGCACTCGATTTCAGCTAAAGAGCTCCTCTCCATCTGTTTCAGGTTAGTGGACATCATTCAGTAAACTGTCCCGTCGGGAAATATGTCGCTACGTCACACAGTGGAGTCTCTCTGATTGGTTGACGCGGCGCGTCGAGCTGCAAAAGTTCAGATTTTCTAACTTCAGCGATTTGCGCCTCAGCGCGTCGAACGCTCAGATCGTTCAAATCGCGCTGCTCTAATCGCGCTTGAGGCGCCGCAGCACTTCCCGACGCTGCTTGAAGCGCGTCCACCATAGACTTTGCATGTAAACCTGATGCTCCTGATGCTGAAATCGCGTTCGGTGTGAACGCACCATTAGTTATTTCAGTTAACTAAAATAACTCTGCTTCTATCCACTCTATAAATTTGTAATACTCTCATTGAGCCGCGTATTAATTATTAATTACTAAAACTGTGTGAAACTGTAGGTACTCAGGCTTCCTCTATAAGTTTCAATAGATTTGAGGAGACCTGATTCATACACTGTTATCTTGTAGCTCTGTCCTACCCATGTACCAGGTGGTAATAACATTTGCTAGAAACAATTCTTATTTGTTTAACTAAGCAGAGATAATATATATATATATATATATATATATATATGTTTAAGGTTTCATACCTGTCCGGCGTACGGGTAGGCTTCCTCAGAATCAATGCCTCCGTTTTCCTTCACGTAGTTGAAGGCGTTGGTCATGTATCCTCCTCCACAGCCATCGTTCTCCTTGACGCAGTCCACCAGGTTCTGGGGACTGAGGTCAATGAGCTGACCCGTCTTCTTGGCCAACTGGCCCTCCAGAGCCCCGGCAGAACTGAATGCCCAGCAGGAGCCGCAGGAGCCCTGTAAGGCGATGATGGGAAAGAGGCTTTGGGTGTGAGCACGGAATACATTTAAAATAAATAAATGTTGAAAAAAAAGAGGAGGAAATCAGCTGATTTTTTTATTTTGGTCAGAACTGTATTTTCACTAGCTATACCCTGAAGGAAAAAAAATGGTAAAATATGACATTATTCAAGTAATAAGTCTTGGAATTTCAAATTTGACTAATTAATCTACATTGAAATAAACATATTTTCATCTTTTGACTATTTAACCGGAATAAAAACCAAATGAATAAAAAAGCATTCTTTATTCTGCACATTAGGGGGCAGACATTCTCTTAACTCAGATAGATATGAAGGTTGAGCATGTAACCACTGAAATATATCAACACATTTATGAATATTATTCTGCAACTAAAGAGAAACAGCTACTAATATAATTTTCTTTTTCAACCAACATAACATTGATTTTGTGATCTATTTTTAATAGAAAGACATAACAGGGCTGTGGTTGGACTGACCCCTCTGAAATCTATTTTTTAAACATTAACTCTCACATGTCGTAAAGATTAAAAAAATAAATTAAAAACCTTTGAATGTTCTCCTTATAAAGTGGACTCTAACACGCAGCTGCTCTGGTTAAAACAATGTGTAAAGGTGTAATCAACATCAAATTAGTTATAAAGACTGTGAGCTCTACTAATATTACAATTTGTCCAAATTAAACAAAACATCAAGGCATGACTGAGGAATAGAAAGTGTCTGTCGCTGAAGCAGGAGAGTCTGCAGAGAATTCAGCCATCTGTTGTGTAATTTATGGACAACAGGAAGGAAAGGAGCTGCTTTTTTTCCATGGTAGCTTCAGATTCAAATTCTGTCCACCAGGGGGCGACAAAGACACTCAAATCAATTTATGTCCTGTCTTAATGTGGGAAATAAATGCTTCACACACAATATTTGATCTAATTCTTAACACACACACACTGGGTTTGAAAATAAAAAAGACAACTTTAGTATTTGTAATCTGAAAGTGTAAAATTTATACTTTAACATTTGCTGGTGTTATTTTGACTGTTGGCAGAACATCTTACATACTTCTATCTTTGTAGTATAAATTCTGTTTAGCAAAACATCTGTTTACATAAATAATAATAAATAAATAATAATGCCTGCCTGTTCAATCC